AATTTCAATCATGAACTCTCAGTTGGAATCAGGAAATTTAAAAAAAAAAAAAAAAAAAAAAAAAAGAACTGGATGCTGAACAGAAGACAATTTCATCATCTGGAGAGCAGTAAAATCTGAGAGACCACTGTTTTCCTGTTTTCATTCATTTGGTGCCATGATGTCACCAGCAACAGGAGGATAGGGTCCCCTAAAATAGGGAGCTCCCTCTTTACTGTTGCACTAGATTTCATCATGACGAACATGATGTCCACCTTATGGCTCTTCCACTGGGTAGGGTCCTGAGGGCTTTGTCGTCTCTTACTGCCATTCTGCTTCTGCTTACTGGGAACCAGAAAAGCCCCAACCCTTGCAGATCTTTGCTCTCTTCTCATCCCATAGGCCTCTGCATGTTTTCTTGACTCAGCTTGACATTCTCTTTCTCTCAGGGCCAACCCTGCTTGCTAGTGAAGACCTAAGTTTAGTTGCGCTTCGTTCCTGAATGCTGTATCCTGAAGAAGGTCAGGTGTAGTGGGAGCTCTTCTTTCCCCCAGTGGCTTCTTCCTCTTCCTTCCCTGCATTGTAGACTTCCCATTTCCTTCCCTTCTGCTCTGCCTCCCCTCTAAGCTCTGAGGTGTCTGGGGACAGGGAGCCTGCACCTGTCTTCTCTTTCCCCAGCTGGCACTTTGCTATAGTTGGCTGACTGTTCAGTGAATCCAAAGAGGTCAAATAGTGGCCTGGGGGTAAAGAAGACCCAATCCAGGCAAGGGGAGGATTGAAAGGTAGACCGTGGGCGCTGCACAGGGAGCCTTGTTCTTCCTATTTCACAGCAGCTGCCTGAGTAACATCATCCAGATGCAATGATCTATGCAGTGTTTCTCTCCAAGGTGCTTAATCAAACCCATCTCGTTAATCCTCACAAAAAAAAATCTTCCAAGGAGGCGAGAAGGCAGAATCCATCTTTTTGTTGCATGAGAAAATGAGACATCAAAGGTGCTGAACCTGCACATTTGGATTGACACTGTTAACTCCCTGGCTCCTGGGGATAGAGACAACAGAACTCACTCCCCTGCAGGGCCTGTGCTCACAGCCTCTCCCTGACGTCCTCCACACATGAAAACCCCCCACCCCCACTCTGTCTATTGTGACCCTCCTGTGTCACATCCAGGTTCACAGATGATTTTAGAAGTGGGGGGTGGGGAGAGGAGAGGACGAGCAAATCCTGTCGAACAATTTAACCAGATTCAAAAGGATTGGGATCATTTGCGTAATTGGGCTAGCAGATGGTAAATGTAGTTCAAAGTACAAAAATGTAGAATAATTACAAGAGGAGAGAGTAACACAGTTTGTGGATGAGGAGCGAACGCCATTTGCCAGCAAAGCTCACTGAAGTCGTCGTCCTGTCAGTGTTGAAGAGACGGACAGACAGCTCTGGTGGGCAGAGGAGAGAGAGTGTGCAGAGAGCAGCCTCCGTGGTATGTAAATTCCGGAGGAGAGCAGGGGCAAGGATGCATCTGTTCTGAGCAGTGAGAAAGGAAGTGGTCAGGGTGGGGAGCATCCCTGGAAGGATGGCGGAGTGGAGGGGGTCTCTGGGAGGGTGGTGGGGTGGGAAGGTTCTCAGGGAGGAGGTGCGATGGGAGGGTCCCTAGGAAGGTGGTGAGGTGGGACAGGTCCTTGGCAAGGTGGTCAGATCAGAAAAGGCCATGGGCAGTGGTGTGGAGTGGGGAGGCTCCCTGGGAGGAAGGTGGGATGGTGAGGTTCCCTAAAAGGATTGTGGGTAGGGTAGGGAAGGTCCCTGAGAGGATTGTGGATAGGGTAGTGAAGGTCCCTGGGCACATAGTGAGTATTCAGGCTGAAAAATGGTCAAGGCAGACCTGCAGCCACCAGGAGCAGCTGTCTACTGGAGCCTCTAGTGGGAAGAAAGCCCTCTTAACACTTTATTTCTACCCAGCAGATATGATTTCAGTCTTCTGGCATCATGAACCTTGAGAGAACACAGTATATGAAATGACTACAGGTAGAAAGGGAACATAACCTGTACCCAGGGATCTGGATCAAGTCCGAATGTGGACACTCATTCTAGTAGAACGTTGCCCCTACCTTGGCCATACTTTCTCCATCTCTAACATGGGATGCCATCCGGACTGATAAAGGTTCCTGAGATGCTGTGAAAGTGGTATTTGTAGCTTATGAACCATGGATACATGGAAGAGATGCTAGATAGTCTTTTGATCAGGCAGCATGTAATCAGCACTCAGAACTCCAGATTCCCTGATGGAGCAAGTAGTGAGAACTGGATTGAGCATTGTGGAGGGACCTGGGAGCGATGAAGGAGTCAGACAGTCTGTGTGTGAGAGGTGGTGCTGTGGATATTAGATAGGAACCTGAGTCTGTTTCTTGCTCATATGAAGGTGTGGGTGCTGGGGAAAGCATTCAGTAGAGCTTAAAAACCTGGTGACTGTCAGGGAAATGGGTAATAGTTTAACAAGAAAACAGACTGTGAATAAGGAAGTTATTCTGGGGCTACCAGATTCCAAGTTTGGTTATTGGTGAAGTGCTGTGGGATGGTCTGTATGTCAAATTGCTCTGATTGGTCAATAAAAAAAAACGCTGATTGGCCAGTGGCTAGGCAGGAAGTATAGGTGGGACTAACAGAGAGGAGAAAAGAAAGAACAGGAAAGCGGAAGGAGTCACTGCCAGCTGCCACCATGACAAGCAGCATGTGAAGATTTATGGAAATGGGTTAATTTAAGATATAAGAACAGTTAGCTGGGCGGTGGTGGCGCACACCTTTAATCCCAGCACTTGGGAGGCAGAGCCAGGCGGATCTCAGTGAGTTCGAGGCCAGCCTGGGCTACCAAGTGAGTTCCAGGAAAGGCGCAAAGCTACACAGAGAAACCCTGTCTTGAAAAACCAAAAAAAAAAAAAAAAAAAAAAAAAAAAACCAGTTAGCAAGAAGCCTGCCACAGCCATATAGTTTGTAAGCAATATAAGTCTCTGTTTACTTGGTTGGGTCTGAGCGGCTGTGGGACTGGCAGGTGACAGAGATTTGTCCTGACTGTGGGCAAGGCAGGGAAACTCTAGCTACAGTGAAGAAACAAAGATGTCTGGGTTTACATCCCTGCTCTCTAAAGCCACTTGAATACTGAGCCCTAATATTTTGTGGCCCATGGTATTAGCCTTACAGAGTCAGAATAGTTCCACGGACCATGGTGGCGAGGAGACTGTCAGTGGCTACTGGTGACTACTCTGGAAACTGGAGGCAACTGGCTGGGAAAGCATCAACAGGGACTTGGAGGGTAAGGAACATCTGAAGGATGCCAGGTCTTATCTCATGAGAGAACAGGCAGTCTGAGTGGCAGACACATGTTTTGATAGACAAGGAAAGAATGCAGACCTCTCCACCCCATTCAAGGGTTTGGATCTGAAGAACAAAGCACATGGGTATGAGGTGAGAATCTGAAAAGCCAGGGCTAAGTGTGTGAGAGCTGTGGCTCCAGGCATCTCCTGAGACCCTTTGTGTAAGAATGTGGTGCTGGTGGCGGCACTGAGAAGGCCCTGAGGAGGGTGTGTATGGATCACAATGACAGTAGAAGTGGGTGTAGCATGTGAGAGGTAGAGTTGTCCTTACATTGTTTGCTCTTGACCAGACCTTCAGGATGACCTTTGCGGGTCTCTTGGAGACTCTTTCCTCCTAAATCTGAGCATTTGTCTTCTAGATCCTGCCTTGAGTGTAATCAGCATCCACAGTTGAACGACTTTTGTGATATCTCTGATTATACAAGCTTTTGAGCATCATTTAAGGAAAGGATGTGCAGAGAGAAGGGAGGATGTGGGAAGGGAAGGTAATTAAGTGCAATAAGACTTTAGAGATTAACCATTAATTTGGATGTGAAATATAAAATTGCCTTTAAAGTAATAGAGGATAATGCCGGGGTAGTTGTACTATCCAGCACTTGGGGGGGGGCATGCTGTTAATAACACACTGGGAAAGATAATGCATATAGAAACTCCCTGATTTTTGTGCTATTAATGATGTCGGTTTCACTTCACTGCTGATTTAAGATACACATTTCATAAGTGGCACATTACAGCAAGTCAGTCAGTTGCAACCTCTGAACAGCCATTTCATATCTTAAGGTTAATATTTAATCAGAGGATATTTACAGCTCTTTATTTTAATGCCTTGAGATGGCAGTTCAACAGAATTATCAGGGATATTCTATGTGGGGCTTATGAGTATGCAGAGCTCACATTCTGATATCTGTTAGACACAAAAGATACTCAACCACTTTTAAAGATTTGTTTTGATTTGAAATAATAACCAAAGATCAGTGTATTAACTGTTGGCTTGGAAACAGGTGTATCGCTTGGATTTCACAGAAGACACAGTCTTCCAGCTGCTAAGGTCCCTTACATAAAAGGGTGCAGCATCTGCATAGTAGATCTTACATATAACTTCTTGTGCACTTTATATAATCCCTGTCATACCAAATATAATGCAAATATTTTTTAAACTGTTCTAAGTTTTTAATACGTTGTTTGGAGCTCAATGACAAGGAAGAAAAGTCTGTACATGCTCATTGCAGTCACCACAGTCTTTTATGCCAAATATTTTCAGCCCTCTGAATGTGCTGGCATGGAACCTGTGGACACAGAAGGCTAAGAGTATGAAACAGAGTGAGCATAGTTTCTACCCTAATTTACTTCCTATTGCTATGATTTTTACCATAACCAAAAACAACTTGAGGAGGAAAGGGTTTATCTGGTTTATATGTATCCATTACAGTCTGTAGCATGAATCTTAAAGGGTTCTATTAATTAAAAGCAAGGGAGCCAGATATTGGGGTGAACGCTGAAAGATCAGAGAAACAGAACAAGCTACAGCCATACCTTGCCAATTCCTCAACTGATCTTGTTTTCTCAAACTGGAAGCCTTTGTGTCCTCATCCGAATGGATCTCAGTTGAACTGCTGCTAAAAGCCAAAAGCTTAATGAGCCTCTAGTTCCTGGTCCTCATGCCTTATATATCTTTCTGCTTCCTGGCATCACTTCCTGGGATTAAAGGCCTGTGTCACCATGCCTGGCTGTTTCTAGTGTGGCTTTGAACTCACAGAGATCTGGATGGATCTCTGCATCCAGAATGCTAGGATTAAAGGTGTGTGTGACACCATTTTCTGTCTGGCCTCTGTGTCTATCTAGCGGCTGTTCTGTTCTCTGACCCCAGGTAAGTTTATTAGGGTTCACGATATATTGGGGAACACGATATCACCACAACAGTCCATCACTGAGGGAAGTCAGGGCAGGAACTCAAGCAGATCAGAGGCAGGAGCCATGGGAAAAAAGCTGCTTGTTGACTTGCTCCCCATGGTTTGCTCAACGTGCTTTGTTATATCACCCAGTGCTACTGGCATCACCAATAAGTGCTGGGTCCTCTTGCATCAATCGTTAATCAAGAAAATGACCCACATGCAATCTGATGAAAGCAATCCCTCAGTTAAGGTTCCTCCTCTCAGATGACCCTAGTTTGTGTTATGTTGACAAAATTCTAATGAATACCATACTATACCTAGGTTTGACTCCATCTTCTAAGTCTCAGAAATTATGATGATAGGCATCAGATTCCATCCACTGCATTTTGCAAGAACAACAGGTTGTCATTTGACTGTTTGTGGGAGGAAAACATTTAGTCATTGGTTTGTTTATTTAACTTATCCATTCATGAGGTATTTATTGACCACTTGCCAGTCCCTGTTCTGAGAATTTAAAAAGACCCTAGTATCTTACATTTTATGCTATGGCATGAAAATATTATATGCCAGAAAATTGCATTTACATTATGCACATATATATGTGCACACACGTGTGCATTTTTAGTGATCAAGGACTTGGCAAAATACTTATAGGCTGAGTGGGAAAAAAACTCTTGTGTGAGTGTAGAAAATTTATTGCTAGAGAAAATAATTCTGAATATTAAGTGTCCATGCCTCTGATTTTGCAGATTAAGCATCTATTTTATTTTTATTCTTGCATTTATATTTTTCAAGTTTTCTGTGATAAACACCCTTTGCTTAGCAAAAACTAAAATAAGTAATTAAGGTGGTGTTTGGTTATATAATTGACCAGCGTAGGTGAGTGGAATATTTTTAAATGGTTACCCATGGTACTTAGCAGACTTAATGCAAAAAGAGCATCCGTTTGAATTCCTGCTCTATCAGTTTGAATTTCCTCACCTCTTAAAGCCAGAAGGTCTACTGGCTTGTTTGGAATATGCTTGTGTCTGGTAAGACCAGTGATTTCTGATGTGACTACAGGGTTTCATGCAAGTGGAGAATCATTTAAAAAAGATGGCTGCTTTTGGTAATTGATTATCTTGTGTGTGCTGCCCTAATGACGCTGTCTGCAGGATGAAATATCTCTCCTCCATTTTCCAAAGCATCTGTAACCCCAGGTGACACTGGGTTTTCCTCACTAGCTTTAATTACTCAGTGCAGAAGCTCCTGTGCGGGGCTTCGGTGGGCTTCACCCACATTGTGCGCCTACTGATGAGCTAGCCCACCAGTGCGCACTGGGGTAGTCATGGAATTTGGAAACCATTAGAAATCTGGGCAATTTCATTATTCATTCACTTGAAATAATCCTGGGACTGCTTTCAGTGACATGGTTCCTTCAGCAAATAAAGATAAGCCAAATCCCTGGGCACTCCAAGAAGGGGCAGATTCTCTAAATTAATTCCAGGCTCAAATAATTCAGCAGTATTTGTAATATTCTGTGCATAAATTGGCAATTTGCTAGCGAGATCAAGAAATGATAAAGGCTTTCACTCCCCTCCCCCATCCTCATCTTAACAAGTGCTGAGGCAGCTATTGGGATAAAAGAAATGTTTTATTCCTAATAAATGTCCTATCAGGTGATGCACTGATTAAAGGTGTCCAAACATAGCACCCCTCCCCCTTCAAAGCAATTATTTTTCATCAGAGAGACTAAACTATATGGGGAGCAGAGGATGGCTGCAATCAAGTTTTTCCACACAGGAAAGTTTATGTTAATAATAAATGTCCTAGCAATATGAAGCGCTATGTTAATAATAAATGTCCTAGCAATATCAAGATTTGGACATAAGGGTGGTAATACCACAGGTTTCCCGTTTTCATTGTAGATAATGTTTAGTTGTTCTTTGTGTGGTGGTTTTGAAAGGCTATTATCATCTTTCCTGATGATAACAGATCCTGGGGACTCCTAACTCTACCCTTCCTCATCTCTGGAACCTCTTTACTCTTTCCCACTCCTACTGCATTTTGTTTTGTGTGGCCTCATCCAGGCTGGGGAACCTTTGGAAGGACTGGTTTAATACTGTCCATCTGCCTGTGCAGAGCCAACTGCAGAGCAGACATAGGAACGGCATAAACCACACTCTTTCCTTGTGATGCTGTGAAGCTGGGTTGTACATAGCATGTGCCTTAGATCCCTCCAAGTGTGCCCCTTGAGTTAAATAAGGTCCACAGAGCGGACAGTCCCCCAGCAGATCTGGCCTTACCTGCTCCAAGCAACCCTTACACAAGGCTGGGCTTTCCTGCTCTGCTGCAGCATCCATGAGGATCCAGTAGCTGAGACCCTCCAGATGGGGGAGCCCCACACCTCACAGTTGGTTCCAGCCCAGGGATCAGATAACTCCCCCTTCCTATGGCCCCAGTAGAAGGGTGGCATGAAAGAATGGATGGTACCTTCCTGCTAAGTAGTTAAAAGAGGGTGGATGCCGCCACTGTTTGGGTTGTTGGCTTTCCTCCTGTTTGGCCTGATACATCCTTTTCATCTGGCCGATGGCTGTCTGCAGTTGCCTGTTGAAAGCACAGAAGCCATGCTATCACTCTGCTGCTGTCAGCTTCTTCAGGTAAGCATGGCTGTAAACATTTTCTGACTGGCTTCCCATCTTCCTCCCATTCATAAGTAAGCCCCAGCCATAACGTACACTTGATAGGGTGGTAAGCAGAGCCCACTTTTTCTCAACCCCCCGAGCCTATCTTCCATAGTCATTTTCAACCTGTGGATTGAGATAGAGTCCAATGACCCTTTCATAGGGGTCACCTAAGAACAGCAGGGAGTACAGATATTTACATTATGATTCATAACAGCAGCAAAATTATAGTTGTGAAGTAGCAACAAAAAATAATTTTATGGTTGGAGGTCACCACAATGAGGAAATGTATTAAAGGGTCGCAGCATTAGGAAGGTTGAGAACCACTGCGATACCAGACCCTCTCATTCTTGAGACTGAGTACTTTCTTCTCAGTAACTGAAAATCTATATTTATTTTATATCCATCATTACTGTTAATCATATCACATTCTCATTGTGATTTACGTCTCTCTCCACCTAGACACATGAGAACTCATACCTAGCACATAGTAGGTACTCAGTGTCTATCAGACCCATACCTGAGCCTGCATTTATTTTTAGCTGTAAACTATATATTGAGTCCATCTAAAAGAAGACTTGAAACTTTTAAATTTTTTTTGTGGAAATATTTCTTAATGTGTTTTTTTTTTCACTATTTTTAAAGACTGTCTTAAAATAATCGTATGGATTTTTGTTAGCAATGGAATCAAATAGGATAAGAGCCTGCACCTCCTCTCTGGGCCTTTAGGTGAAGCTCTGATGAGTTCTTAATCCTGTTCTTAGATTGCAAGGAAGGGTTTTACTTGAGCTGAAATTTCATCCACCTTGCTACAGAATCAGCTCAGAGAAAATTGGCTGCAGGCCAGGTTTGCATTGGTAATTAATCAGCAATGGATGAGCGTTTTTAAGTATGAGGAAAGGGCAGATGAATGTATCTTTACATGGGGTATAAGTGAAATTCTCCTATTATTAAATCTACTCTTAAATTCCAGAGAACTCTGCTTTGAAGTCTTTGACTCAATGATTTCAGAGTGACAGCGGCTGGGCTTCCTCCTTCAGGGCTTCGAGGGAAAGGCAGGCAGCTGGATGTGTGTTTCTCTTTCATCATGCCCCTGACTCTGCTCAACAGTTGGGGACTGGAGTTTTCACCACAGCCTTTGCACACCAGCACTCCACTCCATTCCAGTCCCCTCGATCACCCAGAAGGCCCAGAGATTTCTGTTGCCAAAATTGCTATCTCCACACAAAGGGGGAAATCTCTTCCCAGCAGGCTTTGCTGGAAGAGAAGTGTGCCAGCCAAGAAAAAACAAAAGCCGTCCTTCCCATTTCAATCCGTAAAGTGGTACCCTTTTTAATTAAAGATTTTCCTCTGTTTAAATGGCTCTGATCAAAGTCTTGAAGTGAGAGAGTCAAGGGGTAGAAGTTCCATGCACTTGTCTGGTGATGTCTCTCTTTGTCTCCTCAAGAGTGTGTTTAAGCTTCTGACTGGCTGTCCTAGTGTACTTGAGGTGATTGGCTGTATAACACGCTAAACCTTTAAATACTTCTTTACAAAATTATCTAGCTCTGGCAAGCTAGACAGTTTTAATGGGCTTGTCCTTAAAAAGCCATCTGGGTATAAGAGGGAGCTGTGAACATCCCTACAAGATACTCCACACATCTCAGCATTTCTGTGAGTTCTAAGTAGGCTCACAATGAACCATAATATCAAGGCAATAGGATGACTGAATTTCCAGACATCCGTGCAAGCCCACAAACCCACAGCCATTCTTTCTCTTCTTGCAGTAATAGCTTTCACTGAAAAGAAAAAAATACCACAGACAGTATTTCAACTAACATTCACACTGGTAAGATCTAGTGGCTTGTTTGGTGGACAGGAGGGACATCTTGGTAATTAGATGCCCCAGAGTCTTTACTGACAATATGTGATTTTTTTTTCTGTAAATTTAATCTTACCACACTGTTCTTCCAAATTTATGCTGTACCTCCCCGTGTGCGTGCACTCTCCCTTCTGTGCATGTACGGAACCTTCTGTGCATGCGCATAACCGTCTGTGCATGCATGTAACCCTTCTGCGGATGCACATAACCCTCTGTACATGCGCAAATGCTACCGCCACGCCCACCACCATGCACAGCCTCTGAATTCTGACATGGTAGAAGCATCATGAGCTTTGACTCTAGTAAGCTGCAAGTTTCAGCCTTGAACCTGGATGATGTCACTCAAATTGCTTTTTCACAGTGATGCTTTCATTTCTCATCCATAAAATGGGGAATAGAAGAATCCCCTGGCAAAGCATTATGAGAGAATATGTGGAGTAAAAATAATAAGTAATTATACATTACTAAAATAATGAACAAGCCATGTTAGGGATGAGTGGATCTTAGCTATGATGGTGGGCAAATAGAAGCCCTGAGAAACACAGGGGCTTCTAAACTATGGGAGAATGAGAACCTTGCAAAGATTTTTCTCAAGAGAGCTTGTTTTAGGTAGACTTAATTAGAGTCCAGGCTTTTGTCCTAGGGAATGGGAAAATCTCGATGGACTTTTCTTAGTCTGCCTTTTTAGATCTTTATGTGACGGGGCGGTGAAGGCAGCTGTTCATTGCTGTCAGGGTCACAGGCTTGTTTCTTTGCAGTTGTTCTGACTTTCTTACAGGATGCTTCCTTAGACTTTCATGTTTTAATTCCTCAGTAGCCATTGCCCGTTTCCATATTTTAATTCCTCAGTAGTTATTGCCTGATTGTGTTATAAGAACTGAAACATTGGTGACCTGACTAATGATATTACCAAACTTTAGCTGTAAATGGATTCTGCCAGTTGAGGGAGGAGCAAAACCACAGGTACATGGCGGCAAATCTGACTCTCTTGTCCGGTGCATCGGTCCAGCTTCAGAACTGTGACCCATCCTCCTGTGGTCATGCCAAGCACTTTTATTTCTTTGGGCTTTGATTTTTCCCTTTTGAGTGAGTTCAGTGTAGTAAAAAGTTGCCAAAGTTATTGGGTGCTGGGGCTTGCCCTCCAAAAACTACCTTAACAATGTGTATTTTAATAGTTCCGTACAAGTATGTGTTTTATATTGAACATAGTTAGTCCCGGCTTCCTACTCTCTCTTTTCTTGTCCTTCACCCTCCTGCACAGTATGCCTCGCTCCCTTAGTTATCGCTTTTACTTGTTTTTTCATGTTGTGTGTGTGCATGCACACACATGCATGTGCATGTGATTGTGTATAATTTTTTGGTATTTATATAAAATATAGGAACCATAAACCATAGGAAACATGCTATTTGTCTTTCTGAGACTGGCTTAATTCCCCTAATATGATTATCTGTAATTGCATATAGTTTCCTGCAAATAACTCCCTTCTTATTGAGGGATGAACCAATTCCATTGTGTAGATATACCACGTTTTCTTTATCCATTCCTCTCTAGGTCAGTTCCATAACTTCATCAAGTTAGTAAGTGGTGCATCAATAAACATTGGGGTGTAAGTGTCTCTGTGATATGTTATACTTGAATTCTTAGGGTAAAAACCCACGAGTGGTTTAGCTTGGTCCTAGAAAAGATCTGTTTTTCATCTTTTGAGAAGCCTTCATAATGGTTTCCAGAGAGGTTGGACTCGCATTCCTACCTATAGTCCATATCTTTGCCAGCATTTATTAGATTTCTTAATAACTGCCATTCTGACTGAGGTAAGAAGGAATCTCAGTGTAGTGTAGTGTAGTGTAGTGTAGTGTAGTGTAGTATGTGTGTTTGTGTGTGTGGTGCATGTTTGTGTGTGCATATAGGTACAGGTACACGTCTGTGTACATGCTAGCAAAGGTCAGAAGCTGACACTGGGTATTCCCTTCCACCTTACTTTTTGAGACAGGGTCTCTAATTAAACCTCGAACTCCTGGATTCAGCGAGGCTGCCTGGCCACTGAGCTCCAGAGATCTATCCCCGACTCCATACTAGATCTACAGATGGGCACCACACTGCCTGACTTTTATGTGAGTGCTGAGGATCTTTGTACTTGCATAGCACGCATTTTGTTGACTCAACCATCTCCCAGCCCTTAGCATAGCTCTGTTTTGCATTTCTGTAGCAATTACTGAGGTTGAACATTCCTTATATGCTTGCTGGCCATTTGTACTTCATCTTTTGAGAACTGTTTGCTATTTCATTAGCTCCTTTATTGAGTTTAAAAAAACACCTTTTAATAGAGGACACAGACCAACATATTACAAATGATAGATAGCATAACAAATACATAATAAAGATAATTGGCAAAGAATATTGATTCAAGGAACACAGAGTAGACATCTTAATCTGAATAATAGATGGTCAGAGCAACATAATAAAAGAAGAAATGTCAAGGTAGATGATGTTATGGTCCAAGGGTGTTCTTGAGAGAAGACTAGTACAAAAGCAGAAGCCATGGTGTGTGTTGGTGACGTGGTGAGTAGGGATGTTGGGTAGAGAGCGTTATGGGTGCAGGGGATGGTCTCGTTTACTCCTTGAGTAAGACCTGGGGTGTGATGTTCAACCACCCAATGGATGATGGCATTTAAAACATGGCATAATGCAAACTTTCTGTGTCTAAACTCTAGATAAAAATGTGGTTACTGTGCTATTTCAAGTTTTCATCTGATTTCCCAACGCTATTATGCACTCCTTACTAGCACAAAACACTTGGAAGCCTTCAGTCGCTGCCTGACAACGGAATAATGCTTTCACACCTGAAGCATTGTGGAAAACTCTTACAGATGGTCTGGCTTGGCACTGCCCACACATAGGGATCGTGAACTTACACGTCTCTCTTGTCTGAGGGGCAGCAGACAATTAGATGGGTTAATTCTGATAATTATCTGGGGAACTGGGACAGGGAAGCCAACACTTTCACTGCAAGGGGCTTCGCTGGGTCTCATGAGAAGGAGGGAAGCTGTTAGAGAAAGATTCATTGGGGATTAAATAACATCCTATCTACTATAATGAGGGCCTGAGCAAATGCAGATACCTGTGGTTAAGGAAAATCACAGTCCCTACACAACCAGCACAATTGTGGGCGTAGGGGACCTTCCTGGTTCATTATTCTGAGGAATAGCATTATCAGGGACCTGAAAAGATTTGAGCTTCAGAATCAATATGTGCTGAGAATTACACGGCAGGAGAGCCAGGAACTGTAATACTTTGAACACTGTTTTTATAGTCAATTTTGAAAAAGTCCATGAATTCAAATTCAAGGACACATTTTCAGCACTCATACTTGTTAGCTGATATAGTCATAGGCTTGTTCATTTTTTTTTTCCTGCTAGAAGCATTTAATGATTAGATAGTATTTGTTAAGCACTGTTCTAATTCTGTGGCAGATTCAATGCTATGGATTGTGCCTTAAAGGCTTATGCAATTGTTTGAGTTAAGGTGATTGTAGCCACGCTTATCAAAAAGCGGATAATCATTCAAACAAAATTGGTGTTAATTTCTTGCTCATATAAGAGTACTGGGTAGATGAACCAATTGGTGGATATCTTATTTCCAGGCAGCCATTCAGGAGCAAAAACTGATGGAGAATCTGTTGTTTTCTAAAAGTACTTTGCAAGGTTAACTGGTGCAGATCTCCATTCCAGCCAACTGGAAGAGACAAGAACATCCATGGTTAGTCTTTGGGGTCCAGGCCCCAAAGTGGTGCTGCTCATTTCCATGTCCATTACATGGGCAGGAACCATCACAAGGGTAGTAGCTAGAGATGCTGGAAAACGTAGTCTTGCCAAGTACCCCAGGAAAGAACTCTGTACTTTAGGCTTCGGGAAACACTCTGTAGTCTCAACATCAGATATATACAACAGATAAATGAGTTCGAAATCCATGGTAAACAAGAGAGAAGAATTCTTTGTAAGTTTGGTATTAATAGATGAGAGGCGCCTTGCTTTATAAAACATTCACATACATTATAGAGTTTGTCCTGCGAATCACTTTATGAGCTCCCTGCCTTACCCTTATTTTATAAAAGAAGAAATGGAGCCTCTGAGTTTTAGGTCACTTTTGGTTGGGTTTATTTGAAACCACTAACAGAAAGTGAAAGAGATGGAGTCTCTGCTTCCTTCGTTTGCAGCATAATTAATATTGTTTACATACCATTGTACTAGCTGCCTCTCTGGGCTGCAGCTACTGCAGTTTTTAAACAGGTGTTTTTTTGTATTTCTGGTATTTTGTTTGGTTAAAGCATTCACAGTTGACTTTCTTTATCCATTTGTAGTAATTCCAGCCCCACCTGCGGAGTTTACATTGACACTTCCCCAGAGGACCTGGACTCTAATTACATTTTCTCTGTAAATTTAAAAGAAATTATGAGTGCTGTCTCTCTATCATTTCCACTCACCCCCTTTTCCCCCACAACGCATCTCGCACCCCTTCTCCCCTGTTCTGATCTGCACTTAGAGACCAGGCTCCTGTTTTTCTTTGCTCATTTATTGTACCTTCAGCAGTGTGTGGTACAAATATTTACCTAGTAATGCTTGAGACATGGAGCAGGAACTTACGATCCAATGACTGAGTTGCTCATCTAGTTGTTTCTTCCTTCATTGGTCCATTTCCTTGTTCTTCTGTTCATCCAGTGTGTTCACTGTCCCAGTTGAATTGCCCAGCACCATATCAAGTGTTTAGACTCTGGAAAAAACAAAACAAAACCCACAGTGCTCTGCCTTTTACAAGTTAACTGTTCAGTCACATAGTCAGGAATGGGGACATATGGCTCAGATATTATAAGGTTTTAGAAAAGGCATGGGACAGAAGATGTAATGGGATCTAGAAATGGGTGTGCCGAGTCTTCCTGAGGACAAGACAAGGGAGGAGATCAGAAAGAAAATAAACAGATTTGGAGAATTGAGAACTCCTTCCATGCTGAAGTAGCTGAAGATGAGTAAGATTAATAAAGGGAAGGTAGAATGTGAAGGTGGCATGTGTTCAGGAATTACCACCACGACAACAAAAAGGTCAAGTAGGAGGGTCCTGTGAGGAGTAGCAGGAAGTACCCGTCTGTGACAACT